ATAGACTTAATAAACCTTAAATCTGTTTTTATAAAAGATTATAAATTCTTAGTTATATTTAGCTAAAATAATAAAGCCTCGGCTTTAAGCCTAATTATTATTAAGGAAGTTATAGTCTAATCCGGTATTACTAAGTCTATTATATATCTTTAAGATATCTATTTCTAGCTATATTAATTTTACTTAAATAATTATATAAAGTAATATATCTTTTTTATTATAATTAAAATTATTAATTATTAAGATTTAATTTTTTATTTTTTTTATTTCTTAGAAAAGTCTCTTCTAAAATACTTCTCTATAATAATAGTATTAATTTACTTCTATAGATATCTTAACTTTTCTATAGTTTTAATCTTATTAGAATTCTACTAAGCCTATTTAATATACTTGAAATATTTTATATTTTCTAAGAAATATCTTTTCTATTTATAAGTCTAATAAACTATATCTAAAATAGAACTAGTATTTTATTAAGGCCTTAAAGAGGCCAAAATATTATCTAAAGATTTCTTATATAATTTTTAGAACTTATCTTTTCTTTTTTAATAGTCTTATAAATTAGAATTTACTAAATTAGAGTTCTTAGAAGCAGAATTACTCTTATTAGACTCTTCTGCCTTTATTTTTCTTATTTTGAGATAAGTAGTATATTCTATTTTCTAAGCTTTCTTAAGCTATTTAGAAATAAATATAAGTATTTAATAAATCTTATAATTAGATAAAGTAATATTAAAAGTCCGGATCCAATTTCTTTTAAAATATAGGTTCTAGTTAATTTCGAGACTAATTATTCGAGTATATAATTTAGTAACTATTTTATTATTTTTCTAATAAAGATTTCAGAGCTTTTTAAAAGTATCTTATTAATGAATTTAAGATATTTAAAGTATATTAGCTAAGTAAGCCTTAAATTACTTCTAATAAACCTTATATAATAATAAGCTTTATTTTATTATAGCCTCTTAAATATTATAAGATTCGTTTCTAAAGATACTTATAATAGAATTAATTCTAGAAAAGTATTTATTATAAGTTTAAAGTTAGGTTCTAAAAACTACTTTCTAGAAAAATATAAATATTCTCTATTTCTTAAAAGACTTTCTATAATATAAGTCAGGTATCCGGATTTTAAAAAGCTTCTCTTAGTCTAAATATATCTTTAGAATATTATATAGTAGCTTCTAATAAATAGTATTAAGATTACTTTTAAAGCTTATTATATTAGAAAAGAAAATGAATTCTAATTCTATTTTAGGAAATTCCCTAATAAGAATTATTAAAAAAGATAAAATAGACTTATAAATAGAGTTTTTATAAGATATAATAAACTATAAGGTATTTCTAAAAGTATTCTTATATTATTCTAACTATAGGATATATTAGTTAATTATATTTACTAATTCTTACTTTTATTAAAGTATTTTAACTTTAGTATATAAGCCTTATTTTAGAGCTTAAATAATAGTAATTTGGGTATTAATCTCGGTATCTTAATTATTACTAGGATTATTTCTATTATTATTACTAGCTTTCAAAGGCTCCTAAAAAGCCCTATTAAAAGTATTAGACGAGCCTTTACTATTACTTATATTGGGATTAATCTAGTTAACTTCCTTTATAGAAATAGCTCTAGTAAGAAAGTATATATTTTATAGATTTCGAGATATAATTACTTATTAAACTACTTTTTTTAAGAGTAGAGAGATTAGCTTATAAGGTATTTATTAGTAGGTAATAAGATAATAAAATAAATTAGTAAGTTATAAAACTATAATATTAAATTTAGTATAAAACTAATTTCTATTTCTCTTATAAGGTCTAGAGAAGCCCTTTCCAAATAGAAAGCCCCGATAATATATATATAATTAGTAATTTATAAGCCTAACACTTATAATATAAATAATAATTAGTTATAAAATTAAAGGGCTACTAATTTCCCTAATTAATATCTGTAATATCCGAGGTTTATTATATATTCTTAAGTTATATATAACCCTATATATATTACTAAATATTATTTAAAATATTATTTAAAATATTATTATAATATTTAAAAGAATAAGTAATTTAAGAAGCTATTTTTTATAAAATTAATATATAATAACTTAAAATATTAGATTTTATAAAATGTATTTTTTTATATATATTATAAATATTATTTTTAATTTCTATAAAATCCTAAAAATAAAATTATAAGAAAAATACTAGCTATATATAAAAGGCTAGAAATCCTTAAAATAAAATTAAAAAAACTTAAGGATTTAGAGTATTATATATAAAATAACCGGGAAATTTATTATAATAAGTATTAGTTAATTAAATATTATTTTAAAAAAGCCTAAATAATATTATTAATAAAAAATATTAAATTTAAAATATAAAGATTTAAGCCAAAATTTATAAATTCATTTAAGGTTCTTAAATATATTAGTAATTTAATATATAAATTAGAATTACTAAATATATATAATTATTTATATTTAATTATTTATATTTCTCTTTTTAAAAAATATATAATAAAAAAGAATTAGAAACTGTATTTATATCTTTTTAGAGAATTTCTGGAATTAATAAATAATAATAAAAATAATAAAAATAGAAAATAAAAGCTATTATTAATTATTTCTAAAATTATATAACTAAAACTATAATTTAAATTCCGAAACTACTTTTTAATAGTTTCTTTAGATTAAAAACAATTCTGAATTACTAAAAAAAAAAGGCTATTTAAAAGAAAGAGAAAACCTAAATAACTAAGAAAAAACCCAAAATAATAATAGAAATATTCTTTTTCTAAAGTTTTTTATTTATAAAAGTTTTCCAGAATTTTATTAAAGTTTATAAAAATTATATTTAAGTTATTAGAGAAAGATTTATAATTAAGAAAGATTTATTATAAGTAAACTAGCTATTAGTATTTTAAATAAATGAATTTTAATTCTTATAAATTTCTAATTTCTAAAATAAAAATACTAAATACTAGTTCTATTTAGGACTTAATAAAGAATTAGATAATACTTTCCGAAATTCGCTTATTTTTTAATGAAATATAGTTATATTATAATAATATTAGTATTAAAGATATTAAAAGAAGTAAATAAGAAACTTATAATAGCTATATATATCTTATAAAAGGCCCAAACTTCTGAAATTAAATCTCGAATAGCTATAAATATTATATTATTAGTATTTAAAATACTAGTAATAAACTATATAAAAATCTTAATAGTAATCTTAGTAATAAGCTTAATATCTTAAAGATAAACTTTATAATATTTCTTTAAGAAATTAGTAAATATTTAAATATATTAGAAAAAACTTATTTTTAGAATATTAACTTAAATAGGATTTTTATTAGCTTTATTAAAACAAGAAGCAGAATTCTAAAACTTAATAAATTTTTTCTAGTTTTCGAAAACCTAATTAGTAGACTTATTCTTAATAATATAATACTATTTAGAATATATTTTAAGGAATTTCTTAAAGGTTATAATAATATTTTTCTAGAACTAATAAATCTCTAATAAATAATAAGAAATCTAAAATTATATTAGCTTTAATAAATATTAAAACTAAAGAACTTATTAAAATATAAGATTTAGAACCCTTATTATAATAGCTATAATTCTTTTTACTAAATATTATAATATATAAAATAAAGGAATTAATAAGCAAATATTTAAAATATTTCAAATATCTATTAGTAATAAAAAAGAAAACTATAAAATTACTTTTATATTTATAACTATAAGAATAAATAATAAAGCCAGATATTATAGAATTAATTAAAATAATTAAAAAAGATTTAGAAACGAGTAAAAGTAGAAGCTAGAAAATAATAATAAAAGAAGTTATTATATATATAATTATTAGAAAAAAAGAAAATATGTAATAATATAAGAAAATTCTTTTATAGAAATAGAGAATTATTTGAATTAATTACTAATTTTTATATTAGTTCTAATTAGAAATATATATATCGGTTTACTAGAAACGTATAGTACTATTATATAGTCGTAGAATACTATTTATATAAGTTAGTAAAGTTATTCTTATTCAGAAGTAAGGATTATAATATTATAGTATTAATATGCGATCCCTAAATCTGCTAAGCCTAATAGGAACTAGTCTACCGGTCGAGTTATACCTATAATACGAGATTATATAACTAGTTATATAACTAGGAAATTCGCAGTATAGCTATTCCGATAATATATAACTAATTAATATATATTTCCAGAAGTATATAAATAATTTCTAGAACTTTAGAAATATTTATATAAATATTTTATTAAATTCTTTTTATAAAGCTATTAAAATTATTCTAATATAAAATCTAATATAAAATCTAATAAATAATTTTAATTTTATAAAATAATATCTTAGTATTTTAGATTAAGGTAATTAGAATACTTAGTTCCTAAACGTAATCGCAATTACTAATTAGCCTCTATATCTAAAATATAATTAATATTTCTTTTTACTTATTTAGCTCTAATCTAATTAAACGATTTTTATATTTATTACTTATATTATATTAGTAAAACTATTTCCCAAAATACTAGAAATTTACTTTAATTAAATATATAATTAATTAAATATTTTACTCTATTTAATAACTAAACGGCAAATTAGCTACCGTTTTTATGGGAGGTTGGCCGCTGCTTTTAGTAGCCGACTTGCTAAAATCTTGCTCTGTCCTAGCGCTTGCGGCTAGTACCCTCGAGACATACTAGAAGAACTTCCGGCTCCTGTACAAGCGGGCGATAAGCGCGAATAATAAGGGGAAGATAAACAGTCACAAGTATCGGGTGAGTAGTGCTTCTCGTCTGCCCTACTCCGTACATATTCCTCCTCACTTGCACTCTTCCGCTTCTATATCCTTCTTCACCACAAGAGATTTATTCTGTCTCTTTGACATTATCTGAGAAACCTCTCGTCCCTCGAAAGCTATCTAACCTTTATTAACTATCGCAAATAGTAAGAGACAGTGATTTGTATAAGTAGTTATCTGATTAAAAGAAGCTTTAAAGGGAGCCTCTGGATCTAGCTAAATAAAAGGGGGCCGCTGAGTAAGCGAAGCTAAAGCTCCCTAGTACCCGTACATACGACATTAACAAAGTGAAATTTCCTCCGTTTCGACATGCCCATCCTGAAGCGCTTCTCCATCCATTAATCCCTCGGCAAAACAGGTTCCAATAAACTGGTAAGAGTCACCCATAGGTCTAAGCACGACCGGCATTTTGCATCCCAAGATGACAGCAATCCTGTCGCCCAGCATAGTACGCTCGGTTGCGCTACCCACGAGCCCTCCTTCTGCCGTAAACAGCCTCCGGTTAAAAAAGTGCAATAACATCCTTTGTAGCATCTCGGTGTATCTCTCTGGATTCGGACAGGATTCCTGCGTCGGTTGGAAGTAATCTTTGAGTTGAACCGAGGCGAGCTTGAGTGTCGCACTTGGGTGAAGAAAGCCCTCAAACGCTGCCCTGAGTGTGGTCAACGGTGTTGGATCTTGAGACAACCAATATTCCGGACCAACTTTTTCGAAGCTCATCCAGGGTATGTCTAGCACCGAAGGCCCTTGGCAAAATTCATACTTCCTGTCGTGCATCAGTAAGCGGGCTATGGAGAGCCGGGAGACATCTTTGCCGGAAGATGACGATAATTCGTTGGCGGGGTGTATGACGCATTGCTCCGGTCCAGAAATGTGCTTGAAAGTGACGAAATGCAAGTGCCCAGCCCCAAGGCCGCTTACAGTATCGATGAACAGGCCCCGACAAGTCAGGAGGCGCAGATCTGCTGAGAAGGCTATCGATGGCTTCTGCCCCCCGTCGGCACTGGACTGTTCTAGCAAATCTTCCAAAGATCCCCGGGAGGCCGTGGCCAGATGGCCAGCAGACTGATACCGAAGAGGGAGGTCTTTTAAATGGGGCGCGAGATCGTCATCCCACAAGCCGTCCGGTGCCGCCTCAAGGTCGAAGGCCCAGCTGGGCAAGCCTTTAGAATGAGAAGTGTGGGCATGGATTCTGGCAAGCGTGTTGAGATTTCCATCTACCTGGATACAAACGCTGGAAAATAGCGTATATATAGCCACGGCATCGACGGAGACCTCATAGGTTGGACGAATCCGGGAGGAGATTGCTTGTGGAAGAAGGGCAAGAAGGCCGTATACTTTGTCCCGCTGGTCGGTGGCCTTGGAAGACTGTGACAGAACTATGAGATCCCACAGGGGGAGCATGGCTCTCGGCACGAACATTTCCGCCCCTAGCGGCACCGACCGAATTCCCGGCCGCAGCATCACGATTCGGTGAAGAATGCCCATGCTCCTTTCGGCAGTATTAAGCATTTTCATATCTTCCGGGACTGAAGCCCTGGAGAACTGCGGCAGTATAAACAGCTTTGTCACCTTGGCAGGCGAAAAGACGGAGTCACCGTACCAAAACAGGATCGTTGAAGCGAGCGTCATCTCCTGAGTGATCCACAGCCTTCCCCAATACGGTTCACTGGAGAGGCTACGGGCAGCAAGCCACACAGAGGTGGCAGTATCCAGATCCAAGGCGTACGGTCTCTCATCTTCAAGTTCGAAGTCATCGTCTGCCAGCTGCATGACCGGTGTCCAGTCCCGCAGTTTGCCGCCCAGGAGCCTTTGAACCTCGGGAAGCATGGCGGCAACAGCTGGCGAAGGACGACCAACCCAGCCCCTGACGCAGAGGGCTTCCGAGTAGATAGTGTCCATCTTGCGGACCATGCTTGATCTCTCGCTAAGGTCATTCTGGTTGATGCAAATGGCATCAATCCAGACCTTTAGTCTTCGATCTTTGACCTCGAGAGAACTCCTCAGCCTGATCAACGCATGATAAAGGTTAAGCGTCACTTCGAAAGGATGTTTGTTAATGAAAATCCTCTTCTTCACCGTTGGGTCTCCCCAGACGTAGCTCAGTGCCATGTAATCTCCCCAGTTGAATCTATTGCCAGCAGCCTTGATATCCTCCCCGGACACATCGTCGGGATCGTCGACCGGGGACATGTGAGGGCGCTTTTGGCCCCCGAATTCGGCCCATGCCTCACGCAAATAATTCACCTGTATTTGTTCATGGTGGCAACCTTCCTCCGAATCTTGGTCTAGAGAGTTTTTTTGTGTATCCCACACATTATCGAAGAAGGATTTGAATTCCACGTACTGCAATGTCCAGTCATTCAGACTAACGATTTCAACCGTGCATGATAATATATCCTGATCGTTTTGGGGTCCATCCAGTTTCTGGACGTCAAACGAGAGCACCCGAATCTGATTCCCGTCTGGATCGAGAGAATCACATTGGTATGTCAGAGCTCTCGCGCGAATTTCTTGCTCCTGTTGTTCGAGTGCTAGCAACTTTTCATGCCCCACAGGATCAGATTCCTTCGCAAACTCCTGGATGAGCATTAATGCCTTCCCTGAGACTGTTGGCGAAACCCTTTTAAAAGCCTTCTCGAAGTGTGAGTGGGCAAGTATTCTTTTGCCTTCGCCCTCACCTTCGGTAGAGAAGGAATTACACACAAGGGCAGCCTGGACGCAGAGGGCCTGGATGTCTGACCCCGAGTAGCGATATGTCCTGTCGGCCAGGTGTTCAAGGTTGATGTCAGAATGCAGTCTCTCATCGCGGAGCGTGATACCCAAGATCTTTCTTCTCAACGCGGTGGTCGGAAGACCAAGGTGAAGGCGGCTAGGAACACGACGGAGGACGGCGTTGTCTATATCGTGGGGGAAATTGCTCACAAGCAGTACAAAGGGGGCAGCCTTCGACCTTGCAAGGCCGTCCATTTCGGCGAGCAGCTGATTCGTCCTGCTCCGTTCATAGCCGCGGTCTCCGGGACCCCGGGCACGGAAGAGAGCATCGGCTTCATCGATGAATAGGATGCTCGGAGTGAGCAGTCTTCCTAATCGGAAAAGACTCTGGATAGCCTTTTCCGTCTCGCCGACCCACATGCTTTCAAGCTCAGCAGCGGAGATGCAAATAGTGACAGCCTTGGACTCTCGCGCTATGACACGTGCCAGGTGCGTCTTGCCTGTCCCCGGTGGACCGTATAGTAGTGCTCCTCCAATTCGGCTGTGCTTCAGGACACCATGAGCAGGCCGAGCATTAGCGTCGCTGTTGGCCTGGGAAGTGATCTGTTTCAGAGCTTCTTCTATCTCCGGATCAAGCGCAATGTCGGACCAACCTTCTTCAATCTCCTCAGTGTGGGAAATGAGTAGAGTAGAGTAGAGTAGCGGGCCCTACTCATATTCTACTCAAATAAATTTCTCACTACTCATACTCTACTCAATACTCTACTCAACTACTCTAGAATATTCTAGAGTAGTTGAGTAGTATACACGTGATGTTATACGTGATATTACACGTGACATACTAGCCTAATTAGGTAAGGCTCCGGGGTGGCCCGAGTCTAGCGCCACTGCACTGCCCAATCAAGTAGTAGCAGGGCTTGGTAAGCAAGGTAGAACCTTAATATATTCTTAGGCTTCCTTAGCTATTAAGGGCAAACTCTTCTCTCAAGGCACTCTTATTATTTAAATTATATAATAGACTTAATAAGAGTACTATTAAGATAATATCTTACTTAAAAAGCTGGGAGTTATTTAAAGACGAATTAGAAGAAGTAAAAGTAGAAGAAAAAAAGCAGGAAAAGAAAGATTTCGAGGAGGGAAATCTAGTTTTTATAGAAGAAAAGTGGTATTTAAGTAGCCTTATATAAGCTCTAGCTTAAATTATATAGTGCTGCTTAATATATACCTTATTTATTTATTAATAATTAAATAAATATTAATTTTTTATATTTACGTAACTTGTACGTAACTACTCTTGAGTTACTCTAGAGTAGTACTCTACTCTACTCTACTCAAGTACCATATTACGCTACTCAAACTCTACTCTACTCTACTCAAGACTACTCTAGAGTAGCTTGAGTAGTTTTTGCCCACACTGAATCTCCTTTGGATCGACTAATAGATCGAGAAACCGTTCTTCAAACTTATACTTGTTTTCATCTAAGTTGATCTCTCTTTCGAATTCGATTTCTAGCTCGAGTTTCCGAATGGCTTCCTGGGTCTCCAGAGAAAAGTTGGACCACTTGCCACCCAAGCCCAAATCCTGACCATCTCCTTCCCCAGAAATCCAAGTCCGAAGTAGTACTTGTCTCTGACCCATTCGGAGGACCACCTTTTCAATAGTCTCTGATGAGAATTCCTCGCCAATTTGTCTGACGAGTTCATCAATGTCTTCGATCGACAAGTTGCCTGCTCCAAGAATTTTCGCTGCGTCAGAATTGTCGAGAAACTTCCATTTGGCCAGCGGCTGCAGTAGTGCGATACTTGTTTCCTCCTTGCACCGATCACGGATCGCTTTCTGGAGTGCTCTGATATTGGCGGACTTGTACCGTGTGGAGCTCTCAAGTTTCTCATCTCTCGTGACAAGCATTCTCTGGACGTTGGAGTTAACAGGAACTATGGAAATGGCTCTCCGTATTGGATTCAGGCCCAGGTAAGAGAGAATATCTCCATCCGAATGGCTTGGACCTGAATTCTTATCCAGATATGTTCCTATAGCGATCACGTTGCGATAATATGCTGTCGACTGTTGAATACTGGATCGGAGGCTGCTGAGGATGTCGCGCTGATACGCCGAGACATCGGTCAAGCAGATCACGAGAGGTATGTCGCGCGGCTGGGCGGCAGTCGTCAATTGCTTGGTAAGAGGCGAGGAAAATAGAGCAGTAAAATGAGACATTTGCCGTGACATTGTCAGTACATATCGGTGTGAACGTTTTCCTCAAAATCTAAAACCGTTTTTACGCCAGAGAGAAATGCCATTGAGTAAAAATCTGATTAAAGACGCTGAAAACACGAAGGGAGCCGTATACCCACGGTCTCTTGCAAAAAGGTAAGCGGGTCAGGAGGGCTGCCTCAATTGGGCTACTTCAAACCCAAATCAAGATCGCTTTCAAGATGATACTAACCTCTGAGATATCCGGCATTAGGCTCTCAGCCTTCTCCCTAGGCTCTGTGATATGGTTATCTGATTCCTCTTCATTATTCGCCAAGAACCAGTGTGTCAAAGGATTAATCACATTAATCAAATTAATCAATTAATTAATTAATGTGAGGCACGTAATAGCAGGGTGATGCACAAGTAGTCAAGGTAAGTAAGCTGCAGAGTGACGCTTGCAAGTGTAACTGATTCCAAGAATTGATTCTAATAAAAAAACTAATTAATGCCCCTTTCCAAAGCTAGAAGCATCTCCCTATATATTCCCTAGTACTTAGCCAAGCCTGCGAAGCACTTTACTTAACTAGGAAATACGATCCCATATAATCCGTATAATTCCGATTGCCTATATAATTCCGATTATAAGCTTTACCCAAAATAGGAAACTAGATCTATAATATCTAATACCTGTCTATATACTATTATATATACCTATTATATTAATTCCCTCTCTGGGCCCTTATTTCCAAGAGGCCTGAGAAAACTATAAATAGCTTTATAAATAATTCCCTAAAACTTCCCTGGCTACTAGTTTTCCCTAAAGACTTCCTATATTTGCCCTATTATTATACTAGATAATAGAATTAAAGGTATAGTTTACTAATTTTGCCTAGTTAACTTGCAAACTACCTCTAGTAATTTCTTCTTATAAAGGTAATATAGATATAATATATACTATTAGATATAAAGCTCTTCCGATTTCCTAATTAGTTTATAAATCCTAACTTAGTCTCTATTTATAAATAAATTATTATTTTATAGGCCCAAGAGCTTAGAAAAGTTAATTCGATTTTCTGGTTTATTTATAAATTTCTTTTTAGAATTTTCTAGGTATTTCTGGTATAAAAACGGTTTCGAATTCGTAATTACTATTTAGAAAAAGGATATTATAAAAAGGTTTCTCTTTTTCTATTAACTAATCTTCTTTTTCCTTAACTATAATACTATATCTAGCTTCTTCTTATTTCTTATCTTTTTTCTTTAAGCCTTTTTTAAGCTTCTTTAAGCTTTATTTAAATTCTCTTCTAATTTCCTCTTTTACTTCTTTATTTATTAAGATAAATACTTCTTTTAGTATTTATTAGTCTATTATTACCTATTTAGCTAATACTTCTATATTTTTAATTTACTTTTATTATCTTTAATATTTTAAGAATATTACTAAATTTCCCGACCTTATTTATATTAAAAGTAATAATTACTTAGTATATAATTATTATTATTTTAAGAATAAGAAATATAATTCTATAAACTATAAATTCCTTTTTTTATTTCCTATTCTAATATTATTTAAAGTTTCTCAAATATATATAATATAATTAAACTGCCTTTTTTAAACTATTAATATATATAAGTATTTTTTCTAATCTTTACTCGAAAAAAAGGCTATTATTATTCTTTTTTTATATTAAACTATATATACTTCTTATATTAAAGCTATTATTCGAGACTAACGGATTTTTTTAATAATTCAAGAAATAGGTTAAGTAATTCTTACTAGCTTAGTATAAATATAAAGTATTCTTAATAATATAATTAATATTTTTTAGTATTAAATAAGCTTATTTCTTTCTTATTTCTTACTAATAGCTAATAGTTTTATAAACTAATTTATTATTTATTTCTCGAAAGAATTCTAATAAGAATAATAATAAGAATAATAAAAAGTAGTTATAAGAATAGAATATTTATAGGATATAGAAATTAGAGTTTTTAGAGTTCTTAATAATTTTTATATAGTTTTTCTAAAAATAAATATATGGTTTTTAATAGTTTTCTAATAAAAGTATTTATTTTTTATATTTTTATTTAGCTAATAGTAATATAATATTACTCTTTTCTAAATATTCTTATAATTCTTGAGCTATATTTTCTAGATTATTTAGTAGTTCCTATATATTATTTACTAATAAATAGCTCTTTTAATAAATAAGACCTTTTTTTTCTATTTTCTTTATAGGCTATAATAAATTCTATCTCGAATTCTTTTTTATTTTTATTTTTAACTAATTCTGGTTCTATTATAGTACTAGCTTGCGGGTATTATAGTTCTAAGAAAGAAATATAGAAAATATTATAAATCTAATATAATAATATTAATTTTAAGTAATATATTTATTTATATATTTCTATAACTTCTAGAACTTTAAAAGAGCCGAGATATCTATTTACTAACTTTATATTAGATTATAGCTATTAAACATTCTTTATATAAAGTATAACTTTATTATATATATTAAACTTCTTATTAATATACTTCTTATTATAGTATTTTTTCTATATATTTATTACTTTTTATTATTATTTTTCTAATACTTCTCGTTTTATTTAAATTCTTTATATTTTTTCTTATATTACTAGTATTATTTCTTCTAAAATATTATTCTTAATATATAGTTTAATACTAGAATAGAATCTATATAATATATAAAATAAAGAAATTCCTATTATTAAATATATAAAGTTATTATATATAAATTCTATAAGAATAAGCTTTATTATTTAGTTATTTTACTAATAGCTAGTATAATATTTTAAATACTATTCTAGAATTTGATTTAGATTCTTTATTTATTTATTAGTTTATAAGTAAAATATTATATTTAGCTATTTTTAAATCTTTAAATAGAAGTATAAACTTAACTAGAACTTATTTATAAAAATATATCTTTTATTAGAGATTATATTTATAAATATATTAAAGTTTTTAATAATATAATATATAAATAGTTTTATTAATTCAAGAGCTAAGATTTCCTTAGTAATTAGAATATATTATATTATTTTTATATATTTATTAATAATAATAAATATAGAATTATATATCTTATTATAAAACCTAGAAAGAGGTAATTCTATAATAAAATCTATAATAATTTTTTATTATAGTTTAGAGAAAAAAAGAAATAAACTAAGTATATTATATAATAAATATTTTTTTATCTTAGTTTATTAATATATAAGGCAAGTTCTAATATAATTTTTTATATTCTTTTTTGTATTTTATTAGAAATAATTTCTCTAGAAACTTTCTAGTATTTTACTAATACTAAAATATTTATTTATAAGATTATTATAATTAGCTTATAGTAATTCTTTTTTAAGAACTAGCTTATTTAATATATAAATAGTACCCTAATATCTTAATAATTCAAATATATTAAGTTTTCAAATTTTAATAGCTTTAATAAAGATTTCTATTAAGAACTATTTCTATTACTAGTATTATACTAATAGATTAAATCTTTAGTACTATAATAATAGTTTAAGTAATATCTCTCTGCTTTTCTTATATACTATTTTGGACCTAGCTATTTATATAGCTAAAATCTATAATATATATTATTTATAACTAGTTATACTAATAATAGACTCAAATAGTAATATCTCCGGTATTATTTTATTACTAAAATAGATTTCCTTTTTGGAATTCCTTAATATTTTACTAATTAAGAAATATTTGTTTCCTTTTTTCTGGGCCTTATATTATAGTATTATAAGAATAATATAGTATTTTATTATTATTACTTATAGGCCTTTTTATTCTATATTTTATAACTTATTATAAAATATAAATAGTAAAGTATTTTTATTTATTTCTATTATAAAGTCTGGCCTTTTTAATAACTTATTAGTAGAATTATTATATTTTAGCTAATATTTTAAAATAAAGTCAAAAATAGCTAGCTTTTTTATTTATCTTATTTATTAACTATTTAGTTTTCTCTTAGTTATAAAATATTTCAAGTTATTATAATCTATTTTAATAATAATAGTATACCGGATATATATTAGATAATATTACTAAATATAAAATACTAGAATAATAGCTAAGAGTTTAGAATTATATATCTTATATTTATATTTAATTATAATTATTTTCTTTAAATAAAAAATAATAAAATATTATCTGGCTTCTATTCTTTTATTAAAGAATTAGGAAATTATATTTATAATTATAAATCCTAAAGTATTCGTTTCTATATAAAATTTTAAGACTAGATTAAAATAATAAAAAATTAATACTATTATAAATATAATTTATAGCTTTTTAAAAGCCTTATTTATTTTATTTATCTAGCTAAAATAATATTATAGGTTTTTATTAGTTTTTAATAAATTAGTTAATTGCTTTATTATTCTAAAATATTTATAAATAAACCTCTAGTAGAAATTAATAAAATCCAGAAATATTTAAACTTTTCGGATATTATTTTTTAAAGCCGGCTATTTCCTAATAGCTATAACCCAGCTAGTTTCTATTTCTATACTATCTGAGCTAATTATAAATTCTAGAAACTCTATTTTCTTTATATTAAACTCGTATTTTACTAAGTTTATAAAGAATTAATATTATTATAATTACTCGAGTATATATTAGACTATTACTATATATTATTCTAGATTCTCTAAATAAATCAAAATATTATCTAGATAAACTATATAAATAATATTTATAAGGCCTATTAGTATATAGTTAATATATATCTAAAATATTACTAAAGTATTAGATAATCTAAAAGATATAATATAGTATTTAAAATATTTATAACATATTTAAAATACTATCTTTTATATATTACTTTCTTATATTTATAATTAATAATAAGTATTTTTTAAGTTTAGCTTTATATATATTTTGGTTTTATAAAGCCTATTTATTATTTTACTAATAAATAATAATAGTATTTAGTTCTTAGCAGTAATTCTATTTAGACTCTAATAATTAATATATAAATATAGGTCGCCTTCTTTCTTTAAAACAAATATAATTAGGGTATTAGCTAGGCTAATAGGATAATAGATTTATTTCTTTTCTAAACTAGTATTAAAATATTCCTAAATAATTTCAAGCTCTCTTTCTAATAAAGTATATATAGAACTATATAATAGTTAGAACTCTAGTTCCAGATTTATATAATATTCTATTATATAATAATCGGGTAATATATTTATAGCCTTTATAAAAAATACTCGGAAAAGATTCTAATACTTTTTGAGAAATATAACTATTTCGTTTATAATAATAGTAATAATTTTTTAGTTATCTATTATAGGATAAGTAATTAATAGAAAAATATATATTTTATATTTTATTATTCTAGTAAACTTTTTAGTATTTAGAACTTTAATTCTTTATAATTAAATCTAGTATCTCTATATTATTTCTCTAAAGGAAATTAGGAAATTAACCTAATAAAGCTATAGGAATTCAAGTATTATATTAATATAATTTAGATTAAAATCATATAATATAAAATATATATTAGCCTCTTTTTTAGTTCTCTAATATATTTTTAATAATAACTTTAAAAACGTAATTTCTATATAAATAGATTCTTTTTTCTTCTAATAAAAATAAGGGAATTATTTTTAATATTAATAGAATACCTATATCTAAAGCTAATTTTCTTTTTATATAATTAATTTTTATATTTAAATTAATTAATATTTTAATTCTTTATTTATTTTTTCTTATTTTAATAATAATTTTAATTATTATTCTCGTTTTAGGGGCTTTGTTTTTTATAATATAAATAAATATAATTATTATAGGATATATCTGTTTTCTAGTTTCTTTAATTCTAGATACTTATATAATTTATAGCCAGATTTATTATAGTTATAGTAAGTCGGTTTCTTCTAATTTAGGTAAATAATAATATAATAACTCTTTTTCTAATAAATAAAATAAATTATATCCGATTTTATAGATTTTAATATAAGTATTATATTAGATCCTATTACTATATCTTTATTATTCCGGTTTTATAAATCTTATAATAGAAATATATTTCTTTTCTATTTCTTTTTATTATTTTCTTTCTTTTTTCTTTTATTTTCTTTCTTTTACTATCTTATTAGGTTATTATTATATTTCTATTAAGTAAATAGATTTAAATTATTCTTAATTCTTATAGCTATAGAAATAAGCTTTTCTTTTTCTTATAGAATATTTCTTTAATAATTAATTTTATCCCGAATCTCTTATCTTAAATTATTAAATAAGTTATTCTATTTTTATAATAAACCTATATATTTCAAGTTATCTAATAAGCTATCTAAATAAGATATAAAGCTTTAAATACTCTAGTCTAGTTATTATTTAGTATTTTTAAACTTAATAAAAGTATTATTATTATAGTTTTCTAAATCCAAGATAAAATTCTTTATAAACTTAATAAAGGTTTCTTAATCTATAATATTAATACTTACTAATTACTTTTTATATTTCTAGATATTTCTAATTATATTTTTAAAATAGGAAATATAATATATAACCTTTATTATATTAGTAATCTAGGTAATTCTATTATTTTTATATTATTTTAACTTTATTTAGTAAAAGAAGTTCTAGACTTCTTTAATACTCTTTCTCTAGTAAATAGGCAGTTCTCGGGTTTTTAAAGCCCTCTAAACTAAGAGTACTACCGGAAGTATAATAGATCTAAGCTTTTAGCTTTTCTAGATTCTTTCTTTATTATATTTCTATTTCTAACTTAGTAATATAATAGTAAGCCGCTACTAATTTCTCTATTATTATTACCCTACTAACTAGTTCTAGGAATATCTAAGTTCTATTTTCTTTTCCTAATTAGATAATATAAAAAGTACTTAACTAGATACTTTTCTAAATATCTGGCTAGGTTATTCTAATAGTAATAGAAGTACTTCTTCTAGTTAATATTTTAGTTATTAATAGTTTTATATATTAATAGCTTAATTACTTTATAATAAACTACTTCCCGAAAATTAAATTAATTAAAATATAAAACATATAATAGTAGGGTAATATATAAGTAATTAAGATAAATAAGCTATAAAGTAATATTTATAAATATAACTAATTCCAAGAATTAATTCTAATAAAAAAACTAATTAATGCCTCTTTCTAAAGCTAGAAGTATTTCCCTATATATTCTCTAATATTTAGTTAAGCTTATAAAATATTTTATTTAACTAGGAAATATAATCTCATATAATTTATATAATTCCAATTACCTATATAATTCCAATTACCTATATAATTCTAATTACAAGCTTTACCCAAAATAAGAAACTAAATTTATAATATCTAATATCTATTTATATACTATTATATATATTTATTATATTAATATAATTATTTATATTTTATTTATATTTTATTATTTTCTAAATATATATAATATAACTATTTTATTAGAAATATTTAGAAAGCTAAGTCTTTTATAAATTAATATATTATAAAATATATATATATTTTTATAATTATTTATATTTTAGTTTTCTTTTTTTTAGTTTTAAATTATTTTTATAAGAAATTTTTATTTTTATTTTTAAGCTTCAAATATTATATTTATAATAATATTTAAGTTTTTTATATTATTTTAATCAAGTAATATTAAAAGTATTTAGTTAAATAAATCTAATAATAATAAAAGTATTTCTTTTAATTAATATTTTATTTATTAATAGCTTAATTATTTTATAGTAAATTACTTTAAAAGCTAAATTATATATTATTTTTAAGAAAATATATATAATTATATTAGAGAATGTTTTTATTTTATTTTTAAAAAGGCGACTTCTTATAAAGTCCCGTGTATTTCGTGTGCAAATAGTCACTGTGGCGTGCACGTGATTATGTGCCTCGTCACGTTCGAAGTAGATAATAAGCTGGTCGAACCACTCACGTGACATTCTTGACCTCAGTCGCCTGGTGGGCGGGCATTTTTTTTCACCGATGAGAAGATACTGATGTGTGCTAGATTCAATGAACATTTATAGGAGTAACACATACACTATATCTCCCATTCATCTCGCTCCACTGCTTCAGTCCATGGGGGATTGTTCTTCCATCGCCTCTTACCCCCTTTCTTGACTCGCTCTCTGATGATTGTTGCTTTTTTCCATTCTTCCGGGGTCCAGTCTTCCTGCCTCCAACTATCGACTCGTTGTTCGATTTCATCCAGAATGGCATCCGCCCGCTCCATTAAGCCCTCGCCCACAGGTCGATCAGCAGCTCTTGCCCCTTTCAAGCTCCAGATCAGGCAGTCAAGCTGGTATCGCTCTTTTATCTGATGTCTGAGATCACGAATTGCTTCTGATGTGGATGCTCCCAGCCTCGCCTGCTTCTTTCGTCGCCGCTCCTGCTTCTTGAATTCCTCAAGTCTTCGGCGGTTTTCGTCCTGCTGGCGCTTAATGGCTAGTTCGTGTTGTCGTGCAGCTTCTGCATCCTGTTGCCTTCGCAATTCCTGTCTTTTGAATGCTTCTTGCTGTTCTCTCTCTGACCTGGCGGCCCTTTCCTGGCCTTCCCGTTCGGCCATCTCACGCCTGAGGTTTTCGATTTCGCGTTGCTGTGCTTGGTTTTGTTCCATCGTTAACCGCTCGTTTTCTTTCCGGTCGTACGCTTTCCGTCGCAGCTTCTTATCAATACTACCGAACATTTTAGCAGGATTGGATGCTTGTGGCACTTGGTTGCTTGAGAAGATCAGAAAGTGACTCAAGTGGCTCGATATAGATTGCACGGCCTAGTAATTCTAGCACAGAAACTGAAGCAAAGGAGGATGTCATATGAAGTGGAAAGTGATATGATGAGAACTCAAGCCAAGACTTAAAAACAGCGTAGTGAGGCTGAGCAATCAGGTAAAGCGGCCACATCTTTGTGCACACTACACACCACGCTGCTGCCTAGTCTGCATCGATTGCATTTCATCACATTTGTTCTCCAATACTGAAACCAAATGCTGGTCTTGCGAGCCATTCGCAGGGCCTCTTGCATAGAATGCATGTACGCGCTGTGTATGTGTATCTCAGTCGTGTTTCTATCCCCACCAACCATCTAAACCAGGTGCATCGACTACGGGAGCCAAGATTGGACCGCGACGCCCGGTTTCATAGAGGGCCTATCCCGCCATGCATTGTGGCGTACGCAAAGTTTACTGTGAGGCGTTTTCGCCCCAAATCGGTGATGGATGGAGCCGTGGCTGTCAGAGTGTCCAATAAGTGGGCCAAAGTTAAGCGCTGACTTCAGCGAACCTTATAGGTCAGTCGGTCGGTTGAAATTACTTCGACCGATAAGTCACTGAACTGTTGAGGATTGTTGAAAAGGTCACTTTTGGGCTTTTTGGCCGCGATAGCTCGTTGCGCACTAAATTATAGGGTAGTGCGCCGATATTTAGTGACTGGCCCACTGAAAGTGCGCCGAATTGCAGACGCTGCCACCAGCGTTGCGTTTCTGTGATCAAATATACCGCAAAATTGCAGCGAATCAGAGGTCATACCTCAAGATTCCTACAGAGTGATTTGCTGGTCAAGTTCGCTTAAATCCGCACAGACCAACGCAACCCTAATAAGTATATTTACTCTGACTCGGATCTTTATTTAAGATATACTTTTATTAACCTCACTCGAGTAAATTAAAGTAACCTTTTCTGGGGCAAAATACTTGTATATATTAGGGGCCGTATTAGCGGAAGCAAATATAAAAAGTAAAAGCCTGATTTAGACTAATTCCAGAGAATTAATTTTATTTCAAAGCTATAAAGAGTTATTCTAAATAAATATAATTAAAAATCGTCTATAAAAACTACTTTTTATAATTAAAGTCTTATTTACTATTTATAAAAGAAATCCTAATTAAAATTACAGAACTATAAAATGCTCTATTATATAAAAGAAATATTAGAATACTTATAAAATATATATTTATTTATTATTAGCTTTAAAAATATTTATTATTTCTTTAAATAAATTAGTAATAAAAATATTATATTTTATAATTATTAAAATATATTTCTTAATTTTTCTAAATCCTTTAGAAATAAACTTAAATAGTTTATATTTTTAATTTATATATATATTTATAAATTATAAATATTAGTTATAAATATTTTAAATAAAAAATAAAACTAGAAATTTATTAATTACTAGAGATTAAAAGCTTTAATTAATAATATTTAATTTATTACTTTTAAATACTAGTTTATTTATAAATACTAGCTTTTTTTATATTAGCTTATTTATAAATATTAAACTAGAAGTTCTTATTCTTTTATTTCGAGATATTAAACTAAGATTTTTAAATATAATTTATTTTAAAGCCTTTATAAAAATTAATTTCGGGCCCAAAAAATTCATTTCTTTATTTTTACTTGTATTAATAATTAAAGTTTTGAAAAAATCTCATATAAAAGAATTCGTAATAATAATAATATTAATAGTTTAAATAATTAATTCTATTATAAATAATAGTTTTATAACTTTCAAATAATTCGAAAACTTATTTAAGAAATATTAGATATTTATATTATTATAATAGTAATTATATTAGAATTTATAAAAGAATTTTATAATAATAATATATTTAAAATTAGTTATAATATTAATAATCTAATTAATAAAAGCTTTAATATTAGAAATATATTTAAGATTTAATATTTTATTTTTATAAAACCAAGTTTTATAAATTAAAACTAATTAAAAGAAATCTATTATAATATTTATAACCTTTTTTAATTATTTCGAAATTTGATTTCTTATAATTAAAATAAGCTAAAATAAAATTATAAAGTTATATTATTTATTTATTAGAATACTAATTGGAATATTAGAATTTATTATTTTAATTTCTAAAATAAATTTAGTATTATCTAATAATTTAATAAAATTTCTTATAATTAAACTAAACTAAAATTAGGCTATAAAGCTATAGTATTTATTATTTATAATAATAGAAATATCTATTTTAGTATTTAAATTAGATTTATTTATATTTAGATTAATTTTAGACTTTTTTAAATTCTATTTAATAAATTTATTTAACTTTTTTTATTAATTTATATATTAGAATTTTCTTAAGGGCTATTTAATATAAAAAGAATTATTATAATAGTATTATTTAAGTAATTATAAAATTAAAAATTAAAAATTAAAAATTCAATATTTATATAATAAATATATAATAAATAAATTATTTTAAATTATTTCTAAATAAAAATTCTTTAATAATAAATAGCCTTATATAATTAAAATTTATTTATAAGTCTATATATAGAACTATTTCAGGTATTGGTTTTATTTATATAAACTATAAGCTTTTAGTATAGTAATTTATTTCCTGGTTTATTAAACTAGTTAAAATATTAATTATAAAATAATTAAAATAAAAATTAATTTTAAAAAATTAATTAATTAAAGTTTTAATTCTTAAATAACTTATTTAAGAAAAACCTAAATAGTACTCTCGAGTTATAAAGTTTAAAATAGTTTGATTTAGAATAAAATCTTAGCTTTTATAAACTATAATTTAAATATAAAAGAAATTATATATAATTATAAGTATTATTTTTATATTTAAAGTTTTAAATAATTAAATAAACTAGAAATATATTTAATTTATATTTTAAAAAATTTAAGTTTTATATTTATTAAATTTAATTATAAATAATAAACTAGTTAAAAATTTCCTTTAATATTTTATATAATATTTTATATAATATTACAAATTAAATCTATTTGAGTTTAAAAATTAATTATAAATATAATTCTAGTTTTTAAATATATATAGAGCTTAATATATAAATTATTAGCTTCTTTTTAGTTATTTTATTAGTTTTATAACTAATAAATATTAAAAGTTTTTATTAGTATAGCTATTTCTTTAGGAATTATATATATAGTTACGGGATATAAGATATAAGATATAGGTAATAGGATATAGGTAATAGGATATAAGATACGAGATATAGTTATATAATCTCGCGTCTTATTAGTAACTTGACTAGTAAATTAGACTCTTTTAGGCTTAGTAAATTTAGGAATTATATATTAATATTATAATATTATAATTCTTATTTCTAAATAATAATAATTTTACTAATTAATATAACTAGTATTTCTATATTTATAAGATATATAATAGTAGAATAATATATAAGCAGTTAAAATAAATAAGCTATAAAGTAATACTTGTAAGTATAACTAATTCCAAGAATTAATTCTAATAAAAGACTAATTAATACCTTTTTCTAAAGCTAGAAGTATCTTCTTATATATTTCCTAGTACTTAGCTAAGCCTATAAAGTACTTTACTTAACTAGGAAATATAATCCTATATAATTCATATAATTCCGATTATAAGCTTTACCTAAAATAGGAAACTAGATTTATAATATCTAATACTTATCTATATATTATTATATATACCTATTATATTAATTCTCTCTTTAGGCCCTTATTTTCAAGAGGCCTGAGAAAACTATAAATAGCTTTATAAATAATTCCCTGAAACTTTTTCGGCTATTAGTTTTTTCTAAAGACTTCCTATAATTACTCTATTATTATACTAGGTAATAGAATTAAAAATATAGTTTATTAATCCTGCCTAGTTAACTTATAAATTGCCTCTAGTAATTCCCCCTTATAAAGGTAATATAAATATAGTATATACTATTAGATATAAAGCTTTTCCGGTTTTCTAATTAGTTTATAAATCCTAACTTAGCCTTTATTTATAAATAAATTATTACTTTATAAGCTTAAGAGCTTAGAAAAGTTAATCCGATCTTCTGGTTTATTTATAAATCCCTTTTTTAGAATTTTCTGGGTATTTCTAATATAAAGCTAGTTCCGAATTCATAATTACTATTTAGGGAAAAAGTATTATAAAAAGGCCTCTCTTTTCCTACTAACTAATCTTCTATTTCCTTAATTATAATATTATACCTAGCTTCTCTTTATTTCTTATCTTCTTTCTTTAAGCCTTCTTTAAGTTCCTTTAAGTTCCTTTAAGCTTTATTTAAGCTTTATTTAAGTTCCCTTATAATTCTCTTTTCTACTTCTTTATTTATTAAGATAAATACTTCTCTTAATACTTATTAGCCTATTATTACCCGTTTAGCCAATATTCCTATATTCTTAATTCGCTTTTACTATTTTTAATATTCTAAGAATATTACTAAGTTTCCCGACTTTATTTATATTAAAAATAATAATTACTTAATATATAATTACTATTATTCTAAGAAAAAGAAATATAATTCTATAAGTTATAAATTCCTTTATTTATTCCCTATTTTAATATTATCTAAAGTTCCTTAAATATATATAGTATAATTAAACTATCTTTTTTAAGTTATTAATATATATAAGTATCTTCTCTATTCTTTATCTAAAAGAAAAAAGGCTATTATTATCTTTCTTCTATATTAAACTATATATACTTCTTATATTAAAGCTATTATTTAAGACTAATAAATTCCTCTAATAATCTAAGAAATAGGTTAAGTAATTCTTACTAGCTTAATATAAATATAAAGTACTCTTAATAGTATAATTAATATCCTTTAGTATTAAGTAAGCTTATTTCTTCCTCGTTTCTTACTAATAGCTAATAGCTTTATAGGCTAATTTATTACCTATTTCTCGAGAGAATCCTAATAAGAATAATAATAAGAATAATAGAGAGTAGTTATAAGAATAGAATATTTATAGGATATAGAAATCAGAGTTTTTAAAGTTCTTAATAATTTTTATATAATTTTTCTAAGAATAAATATATGGTTTTTAATAG